AATAATAATAATAATAATAATAATAATAATAATAATAATAATAATAATAATAACAATAATAATAATTAATAAATAAATAAAAAAGCGGCAAGCGTTATTACTCGCAAAATCGGAGAATCCGCCAGTTAAGGATAATGGAAGACGAAAGGGTTATATGGAACTTATGAAAGAACTATGGGATCAAATCTAGAGTTTACGAGGCAAAATTTACCAGACCAAGCCGCTCGACTTATAAAATCCTTAGGCAGCGTAACTAATACTATCACTAACGGAATATAAGCGAAGACAGGTGGAGGTAACGCAACAACGAACGCCAAATAGCAATACATGCTGACCAAGAAGAACCGAATTTGCATACAACCCTGACCCAAAGTATTTACCTTCTTGAATCTTTTACCTGAATTCCCATACAAATCCGATCACCGAAGTCACTGGAAGTTTCAGTTCACATCCTTAACAGCTATATCAGAGGGCAAAATGCTTTGCGAGTTCTGTAAAAAAGCTTCCAAAATAGACAAAACTGCATGTTGCCCAGAACAATGTGTTTGTGGAGGGCTGCATTCTTTTTGCAATCTTGCACTTTTCCCCGGGCAAACCAAATTGTAACCGGACAAGTATGCCATTAGAGTTACTTGCCCAGCTGACGACTCTGATAAAAAATGAATATGGATCCCTGTTCCAACGGCTCTTTATGCGATAATTCGCCCCATGATGCCTTGCGGGCCGTGTCCAACCTCCTATGAAAACGTATCTTTTTAGGCGCTCTTTCCAGTGGTGCCGACTTTCCTAACTTGTCCATGTCAAAAAACCGTCGGAAGGGTCTTTTTTTAGAGAGCGATTCAATGTTTTTGTAAAAAGGTTTTCACTTGTAATAATATATTATTTAAGTAAAATCCAACTGGTGGTCTATTATCAATGCTGCGTTCTGATTGGTTGAGCTACTACTAGGCTATATGTTATAGCCCACTAGTAGCGAATAGCGGGGGGTTTTTGGCGGCAAAAAAGGTTTAAAGTCTAGCTTTAACTAGCTAAATTTTTTTTATTCTCGATATTCTTGTCCAACTAGTTGGATTTTACTAAAACTATTATTCCTCTCGCCCTCATGGCCTCTGAGTCAATAGTCCATTCGGCCTTCGGCCTCATGGGCTATTGACTCAGAGCGCATTCGGGCTCGAGGAATAATTGTTAAATATCGATATTGTATAAATTATGCATAAATTATTAAATGTGAATTTTAATGGCAAATAATAAACATGTTTTTTTCCTTTTCTTTGTGAATCAACAACATTATCATCATCATCATCATCATCATCATCATCATCATCATCATCATCATCATCATCATCATCATCATCATCAAACATGGGAATCTCTAAAACGGGGGAATCTTAAAATGGGTATACATGTAGTTAAAGGAGCCCGACTAGGCGGGCTACCTAGCTCACATCATATAAACACTGAATTAATGAATAATTTATGCGGAGGCTCTGCGGAGCTGGTTTAACTACGCTTTTCAAAAACACGCGAATTCTGAAATTCAAAAGCTAACTGACGTTTGCGTTTTTGCTGCCGTCAATCATCTTTGCGGACCTCTTAGAATAGGAACAGAAGTTTACCTCAGTGGTTCAAAAGGTCATGGTTTGTGGTGTTTCAAGGTTCTTTGCTTATGATCGTAATTAGGGACTGTGCAATAATTACCTGGAGGGGCCCCAAAACTAAGTCATGCCCCCCCTCTCATTAAGCAAAAATTAATTTCCACCCCCCCCTCACATAATGATAATATTAAGGATAACCCCCCCCCCCTTGAAAAAAGTGTCCTCCCATTGATTCCCTCATACCTAGTTTGCTTGTTTGATTTCTTCTTCCGTTACAAACATCACTTCAAATGACTCTTCGAAGTATGTCGAAGAGTCATTTGAAGAGTCATCAGAATCACTGAACTCTGAGCATGTGTCGTCTTCGCATGAATTGGGAGATTCCTCATCTTGTACAGCATCTCTGGCACTAAGGTTCCCGCGTGCGTGGGTGAGAACTCGATCAATCAACTCAGCCTTGCTTCCACTTATCTTAAGACCTTTTTTGCTTTAGATACATCTTCAGCAGCTTGTTGGTGAACGCTTTTACATCTTTTACATGATTTATTTACTATACTTTAAATCTGTATTACTATTAAAATTTCAAAAGTTGGGTTTTTCATCCTGCTAAATTATGACGCCATGTGTGGTAACATTGGCATCTTTCTTTTTCATTGAATAACATCATAGTGCTTCTTTTGCAACTTTTAATTAAAGTTTCCTGTTTTATTAAATCCTAGTGCAAATAAAGTAGCACTGTTTTAACATATATAACAGAGGCATTCCTTTCCTACTGCATGTCAGATAGGAAAACAACAGTTCATAGATCAGACCACCTTAGAGTTGATACATTTATCAGTTTTCTTCCAATGTTAGTATTTATATTTGAACTCTAATAACTCTTCCACTACTTTTCCAGTTTGCAAAAAGGAATGAAAAAGTAATGCCACCCCTGTATGTATTAAATTTTACATCAACCCCCCTTTCTCTCTTGTTGTCATTTTCTCCTATGCCCCCCTCTAATTTTCCACTCCCCCCCCCCCTCCAGGTAATTATTGCACAGTCCCTTATGATTGAGGACCTTCCCATCACCCCCTGCTCCCTCACGCGTGTTACACGAAGACGACTGGGGACGAGTCACATTGAGGACAATGTAGCTTACGAGCAAGCTCTCCAATTTGGGCGAGCAAAGTAAGTCGCGCGAGAACGCGCGAGCGAGAGGGGGGCCTTTCCCTCCCCCGTGCCCCGCTTTCGCGTCTCCTTTCGCTTCTCCTCTCGCGTGCCTCTTGCACGTCTACTTTTCACAATATCCCCCAAATGGAGGGCTTGCTCGCAGGCTAAGGACAGTGAATAACGCAAGTGTAAAGGCGGTGATTGAGCTTCAGAGTTATGTTTTTTGAAAAGCGCAGTAACCCCACTGTCTGTTGTTGTTTGGTTTTTTTCATACTTGATTGCTTTTGTGAGAAACAACTATGCTTATTTCAGATCAGAATTTAACTTAACCCTAACCGTACAAAAGGGATAAAAGATAAGTTACTCCAAAAATTAATAGTACTCACAGCCTTCAAACTCAATGTTCCTAGGTATTCCCCTAACTTAAAGTTCTATATCACATTCGATATCTGAAGTATTTTCTTGAATAAAGTTGAAAAATCCGCGAACTGTGACAAAAATTGTTTCGCAACTGGAATCATTTCTCAGGTTACAAATACCGTGATTGATATTTAGGGGCTTGTCTCGACGGGCAAATGTAAACCTTGAATAGATAAGTAGATTCGAGCTTCTTAGAAAGAAGTATTCACATTAGGCATAGCTTGCCAATGCATCAGACAATGCAAGTTGGAAATTTTATTTAAATTTAAGCCCACCCTGCTTTACAGAGCTGAAATGAAACAACCGTGTGCTGTTAACTGGGCATTCAGATCCTCTCCCAGCCAGTTCCCTCTCATAAATTTCAAACATACCCTCTACAATCTTGCGATAGTTAGAAGAAGAGATTTTCTCGTACATGTTGTGATTCTTCAGGTCCTTGAACTTCATTTTCTTGGCTGCCTCGATGCACGCCGTTTGCAATCTATTCAAACCATGGTTTTGAGCAATCTCCAGAAGCTCTAACTCATAACAATCCTTGCCCCCTCCGAGTCGAAATCTCGGAAACAGCCGATTCATCAGATAGGTTTCACATTTCTCAGTAAGCTTAGCCATCATATACTCTTTCGCAAGGTCAAGCAAAAAAGCATAGTTGCTTTCAGAGATCGGTTTCGCAGACATTGGATAAATCACCAGCAGCATTTCTTTAATTTCAGCTGATTTCTTTCCCGGAAGCGGAATTTCTTTAGCGGTTTTCTCTTTGAAATGCGATGTGAACATCCTGGTGAACACTTCGGACCACATCCCGAGAATACAGCGATGAACATGAAATCTGTCTTCTTCCACAACCAACACAACATCGCTGAATTGCCATGGCTGGGAAAAGTCCAGCGAATCTTCTTGATCTGACTTAGTCTCAGCATTAACGAACAAGGAAAAACTGCTGCTACCAAACATGGCGGTGTGGTGTTAAAGCTACCCTTAGGCTTCGTTCACTTCCTTAACAACTGAGAGCTATATTGATCTCGTTCCCAGATCTCTTGCAGCAACTTTTCCTTTTGAAGCTTATTCATAGCCAAGGAGTGAGATGGAACTAGCCTTCAAAGCATCAGCAATAGATCGTTTGCCTTATTTTATTATTGTTGTTGTTGTTGTTATTATTATTATTATTATTATTATTATTATTATCTCTTACACTCAAACGATTACAAATTTATTACATTTACAAATCATTACAATGAAGTCTAATTATCGGTTGCAGAAGTGGGGGGGGGGGGG